TACAACATGTACATATAATTATGTTATAGTTAATTTTTTATCTCAGGTAATTTTTGTTTTTCTGGAAATGGAAATGTATGCTAATGAAGTTAAAAGAAAAGAAAACGAAAACTTACTTGAGATAAAAAATCAACTACAACATATATGTTAGTGTAAAAGGTGTTGTTGTTATCAGTATTGTTTTTGTTGTATCGCAAAATATTTTACTTCCAGACTGTTTGAGCCAGTTCATGTGCAGATACTTAATCTTGGAGACACTTCACATTCTGAATACAGGCTGAACAGCTTGTCTGCCCAGGCCACATCTAACCTATTTTATGAAGTAGTTGACTCTTACAGGTAATTTCATAAAAATTATTTGCAATAATAAATATTAAGGAACCACTCAAGCTACCAGTTAAGACTTACACATACTTGTTTGAAAACAAAAGGGGAAAAGCAATGGCCATTGAACCAGGGAGTGGAAGTTAATTATTATATGAAGTGCTAATGGCATAATTATGCCATAAGGCAACAAAATTCTTCACATTGAGGATCGAGTTTTGAATGCACATGTATTCTCATTAATTTGTTTACCACTAGAAGTTGAATGTTTTCTAGTCACTATCTGCCTGAAAAAACCATGTTGATTACTAGGCTGGCTTTTATTATGATTGTGAACCAAAGCTTCTGAAATTCTAGCATTTGGTTTTGCTTGTTGCTGTCTTGTTGCTAGACAACCATGGACACCATCCAGATTATACAGCGCAATATAAATGCAACTTGAGATTCCACATTCACTGATTGTGAAGTCTGACAAACTTATATTAAAACCTTGCACAAGAAATTAAGATTTAAAAATAACTGGTTGGTGTATTTGCAGGAACGACTTTGTAGATGATAAAGGATGTTTACATCAGTCCACCAATATGCATGGCATGTACATAACAATGATGAGAAAGCTACAGGTAAGATCAAAGGAAGCACCACCTAATTAGCATCTTCATGGACTTTAGGGTTATCTTGTTATTATGCGACCCCATTTTGATCATGTGAATAAGAGTGGAAAATTAAAGGGCAGTAATGTGCTGCATGTTTATAACGCATGTCTCATGCCAGGGTAATTGTCGCCAAGGGCTGGGGGCAGGGATTTGCTAGGAACATGACCCCTTGCTACTTTCGTAGGATACAAAAGGGAAACAGTCCAAATGATCTTCCTAACTGGTCAACATTGACATAAACATAAGCACAAGCACAAGAAAAACGGACAAGTTTGTTCTTCTTGTGCTTGTGCTTATGCTTATGTCGTAGCTTTGACTAGTGAAAACTGGGTCGACATAAGCACAAGCATAAGCACAAGCATAAGCACAAGGCCATGGACCAATCATAGGTCACTTTGACCCAGACCTCATTGCGAACATATCAAAAGCAATTGTCCGCCATCTTGTTTATCATCGAGTTAAGGAGAGCTGGTATGGAGAATTGAGTCAAATATGCCATTTTGTGCTTGTGTATGTCCTGCCTATGCTTATGCTTATGCACTAGTGAAAACCAGGCTTTAAGAGCCACTCACAAAGCCATTTACTCTCTGACAGCAATGGCCAGAGTATGCTAAGCTGGAAAATAAACACAAACCAACCAGAACCTTGCGCTCTAGTTCTGCTCTAAACCTGGACCTCAGGAGAGGGGAACTTTTCAAGACGTTTCTTCAGAACTTTTTAATAACCTACCTGATAATGTTAATAATACTAATGTTATTTATTCTCCTCAGCCGTCAAAGACATTTTAAAGACGCCTTACAGTGACACTTGATTTTTTATTCACGTGTATAATTAATTTTTTGATCTTCTAACCTACCTTTAATGTATTTGTAATTGTTTTCTGCCGTTTTTCTTTGCTAGATAGTTTAGATAGAGGAAGAACCACCTCGTGAATTATATTCAATAAACCATTATTGTTATTATTTATTATTATTTAATGTTTCAGTAGTTCCTTTAAGAAGCTAGAAAATGATATGAGTTGCTGAGACAAGTGCAGACTGTTTTTTTTTTTCATTTTCTTATGAGGAATGTCAACTCTATTTCAAACAGTATGTGTTATGTGGTACTGAATGTGATGTTTTTGCATTCTTAGGTTTATTTGTGGCTAATCTCCATTATGCTTCTTTAGGATCTGGTTGAATTAGTAAAAATGAGTGAAACAAGTGTATCATCATTAACAGAGGATGTGGAATCCAGAAAAAAGGAAGTAGAAAGATGTCGACTAGAACTAGCCAGTAAGAGTGGTGGGTAATGTTTTACTAGTTGAGTAAATAAATTTTAAAGAAATAGGTACTAAAAGAAAGTCCGAGTCTGGCGGCCATTGCAATTGCTTCTTTTGAGATACACAGCTGGAAATTCACAGGTCAATTTTTTTTTTATTAATTTTCATATGCTCTTTCAGTTCCTGCTAACAAAATAAATATTTTTCAAAAGCGAACTTTTTTCATGTTCACTATTGCAAAAGGCCTATTGATAGCTGTCAAAGTAGGGAATCCACGGAGTCCAGTGTCACATGCTGTCACATGGTTTGTTTCTTGCTTATGGCAAAAATTGAATTACCTCAGAAAGACATTTTTCAAAAGATCCCATGAGAGCTTTGTTTTTGGTCTTGACTAAATCTATACCAGACTGAGTATAATTAAGGTAGTACATACATTGACATGCAAGAATGCAGTTATAATACAGTTGTTGTCGTTGGCAATCTTTGTTCCTTTTAAACAATGCCACAGGTACAACAAGTGTGATTCTTCCATCTTCTATTTTTTGAACTCCTAATTGTTCAAACTAATTCCCATTTCCCCTGAGGGTTTGAAAAACAAAGATTCCATTGTATTGGGTAACTCATGGGTTTGGTTTTCTTTCAATGCTTTTTATAGAGTCTTGTGAAGTTGACAACAGGAAACCAGTCCAACCACACCCTGTTCCAACCCAATCAAACCAGGACATTGAAAATGACTTTAAAACTGTTAGCAAAGGCGGATCAGGGATATCTACTGAAAGTAAAAGAAAAGAAGACTTGATTTCATTTGATGATAACGACGTAATGGAAACAAATAACCAAAGTGACATTCCAGATGAAAAAACAAATGTCCAGATAAACATTGAAACCAGGAGCCTAAGCAGGAGGAAACAAAAGACTCCAGCTAGGGTCGTCAGTCTTGCAACTGCGGATGCCGATGATGATCTAACAGACGATGAGACACAAACATACTCCTTGGATGATAATGTAAAAGGAAGTGGACCAAATTATGAAGAAACATTTTCTAAGAATTTAACTATGGAATCGTCATCGCCAGTTTTCTAGTCTATCTTTTGTTGGTGGGATGTTGGCCAGCACATCAGATGTTAACCGAGAGCTATGGGCAGTGAGGAAAACAGGCAAAGGCTATCATGACAAAACACCTATCTGTTAGTTGACTGTTAGAGCGTTTTTAAATAATATTACTTTCAAACATCTGCCTCTCAGGTTTTTAATGTAGAAGTCGAGGTTATCAAAATTCTTGGTACATTAATATCTTGTTTTTGTAATTTTTACAAGCTGTACAGTTGTTGATCTTCCAAAATATTATTAAATAATGAAAAATTGTCAGTCATCTGATTTTTATAAAAGGATACTTGAAATTATTCAGTACAATAAATTATAGACGTTATTGTTATCAATATGCTGCCAAACAGTTTTCAACTTAGAGTGATGGTAAACTTGTTTTATTTGAGATGTTGAAAGGAAAGACAAAGATTCATCAAAACCAGGCGCCTGCCATTTTAATTGTGCTTATCATTTCAATCAAAACATGGCAATCTGTGGTCTATAGTGAGCCATGATTATGATCAATTTTTTGTCAGTGGTAAGCTGCTAAAAAGAACATTTTAACAAATATGTGGCTCAACCTCAGGGGAAATACTAAACAAAGCCTTATACAGGTAGGCTCCGCCCCGAGGTCCAACCCCTCACCCTTTAATATACCATTTTTAACAGAAAAGGAACCCCTTTTGTATACATTTTATTGACAAATAGTACCCCTTTTATATACCTAGTTTAAAACTTTCCATAGCTTTTAATTGCTGTAAATGCACTGTCTTTTAGATTAGAATAATTCACAAACCAGAATGTTTTTTTACAGCCATAAAATGCATCTGTTAGCCCTTTTAACATGACCTAAATGATTTCCATATCCTTTCATGCCTGAAGCCTGAAAAAGGTGGTGCCTCTTTTGGGTGGAGCCTCCCTGTATCACTATCTTTATTATAAATAGAGTTTAGTTAAATTTATCGGTTGACTGATTGTCAGTAAACCTTAGGAGAGCTGTTGGTCGATGATAAAATGTTTTTCATCGTGAGAAATCTTATTTATTGATCTAAATCTAATTGTCTGATCTGCAAAGGGCAGTGCAGCTCATCTCCAGATATGGTAAAAGAGATAGTTCAAGTGCCTGTTTTCATTAACAAACCACAGATAGTTTTAATCTGTCAGCTGACAATCTACCGACAGACAGCAGACAGATTCATTGGGGAACTGTTCATAAATTTTATCCTGTGTAGACCATCATTGGGACTACACTATGCCCCCCCCCCAACCCCCCTGCCCCGCCAACCCATCCACCTACCTGCCTAAAATGGGAACTGTGGCACAATTTATGCAAGTTAGCAAAGCATCACTTAAAGTAACATCACAACATTATGAGGCACTGTCAGTGGCCAAAGGAATGTCTTGCATGTATTGCTACTATCACATGCAACAAATTGTTGTGTCAGACCTCTTCTGGTTGCAATGTCTTTGGTCCAATTCTTGTAAGTGACCCTGCCCATAAGTGACCCCAGATGCCAGGATTTTGGGTGGTGACAGAAGGAGGTTTCACCTGTAGTTTCAGTTTTAATGATCTCTTGATGCTTTTGCATTAATAATTATGCAACTGATATTTTCACAATTAATACTAAAATGGGTATAATGTAAGTATAAGAGCAGACTCAATAGTACAGTGACAGTACTTTTATTTACAAATTTGATTACTCAGAAATTAATATAGAAACAAAGGCAATTGACTGGAACATCTGAAAAAGCTGCTAGAATAACTTGGGATCATTATGAAAAGCCACGTACTTCATTGTTACAGGCATGAAACCTAAAAGGAATACACAAAACAACAATAAAATCATCATTATCACTAAAAATTAAGGATTTTAAACAAGCAATTCCAGCTACTGCCTTAAAATAAAAAATAGACTTCATAAAAATAATAAAAATGGAAGAAAATGTATTTTCGATACCTATAGCTCTTGCTCTCCTGATGGCTCTTGATATTTCTGTCTGTTTTTTATCACATAAACCTGCAAAACAACTCAGCAGTTACAAATGACTGGGGCTGATTTTGCCAATAACTAGAAGGGAAAGTTTTAAAATATTCAAAGTTAAGAACAGCTGCTCTAACCTGTCAAAGTTCGTCCATAGATTCTTCCAGTGTGTGGTGAAACAAACTGGGATAACAATCGAACATTCTGCAAGAAATGATTGATTTCAAAAATCACTTCATTCAGTTAAAAATTTATCATATACAGTGGAACCTTGATATTAGGAAGTGCCAAGGGACTGGCAAAATTTGTTCGCTTTAACCCTTTAAGCCCTAAGAGTGATCAGCATCAAATTTCTCCTTGCAATATCAATGCTTTGTAAAACAGAGTGGTCATGAGAATTACAGAAATGATCACAAGATGAATTTGCTTGATATTTATCAACTTCTCCCCACTACTTCTGTAGGAAATGAATAGGGGCAACAAATGAGAATCTCAATTTTGATATTAATGTTTAAAGGATTAATAAGGTTTTGTTACACTGAGGTTCTTTTCCATAATTTTACTATTAAGGGTTCCTACCCTTTTTTGAACACAAAAATTCAAGGACTTTTCAAGGACTTGCAAGGACACGTTTCCCATTTTCCAAGGACTCCATTCTGTGCAAAAAAGGGCCTTGAGTCTATGTCTTTTTTAGCTCCACCACAACATGAGCAATTTTATCTTGAAGGTCTTTCATATTAGGCACTTAAGGATCTGGGTTGGATAAAGTTAGCAACGAAATTCAAGGACTTTCCAGCACTGACTGCAATTTTCAAGGACTTTCCAGGCCTTGAATTTTTATTTTGAATTTCAAGGACTTTCAAGGTGCATGCAAACCCTGACTATTACTGGGGTAAAGAAAATAATACGTTATATCAAGGACTTTAGCGTATAGAGGCTCGTTATATTGAGGTTTCACTGTATAAATTTAAAATTACCAGTATTAAAAGTATAACCTTAATGCCATGTACTGCCCATAAGCAAGAACTTAACAATAGACCTTGCCCTGACAAACAATAATCTTTAATAATAATAAGAGTGTAGGTCATGTGAAGTAACATGCACCTGTACTCTTGACCTAACGAACAGTTTCTTTTCACAATTTATTAACCCAGTATTACACATATCTAAAGGTGGAATTTCCTTGAGACCATTCACACAACCTAAAATGAGAAAACCAGACTTACGCAAGCTTACGTCCTTATCTCCTAATAGTTAAGGGCTGTTGTTGAGATTCAGTGGCACACTGAAGGGCTTAGAAGTTAATTGGCCACGATCAAAAAGCTTTGACATTCTCTTAACATTTTAAAGTAAGTTTGTAGCATCATGTTACTGTTAAGATATGTGAGAAGTAGAGTGTCAACAGTTTCAACATCTCACGAATCCAACTCAACAGATGCTCAATAAGTGAGAAGAAGAAGAGTGCAGATCTATGCACTTCAAATGAAAAAGTTGAGATGCAAAATGTTGAAAACAAAAGATCTGGCCCCAGTTGTTCAAAAACTGGTGATATCCACCGGATAAAAATCTAACCAGTGGTTAACGCATTATTGGTTTCCCCAATACCTATCCACTGGATAGTGATTTATCCTGTGGATAGCACCATCCAACGTTTGAACAACTGGGGCCTGTACAGAAAAAAGGTTAAATGAGACCAAACTCTTCTTTCTTCTTTTTACTGTATGTCAATACATCTCCAGGGGTTCCGTCTACATCCAGCTATAGGGTCTCTTACTACAATCTGCAGAAATTTAGGGAAAAGGAGCTTTACAGGTCCTTTCTTGGTCACAGCTACATGTAACAATCCCACCATTGGGAGCTACTTGTGGAAAAAATATTGAAAAATCCCGCGTCTCACGATAAATAATGGTCTCAACATCTCTTCATTTCAAACAATATTGAGAGAAAAATGATACAGAAGAGATTGAGGTCATTTTTTGACTGACAAATGTTATAATATAACTTTTAAACCATATAATATGGTTTAAAAGTTTGAATTTAAGCTTTACTTTTATGGCCAATCAACATCTTTATCCCTGTGAAAAGTTTGAACCCAGGAGTCATTTCATAAGTGGGTTGAGTATGATTGTCTGGGTGAACATAGTCCTGAATAGGACTGTTGTTGTTGACAGGGACTGAGGTTTTGACAACCTGTGCAGTAGTCATCTTCAGAGTCAAAGTGATTTGTATCGAGTCAGTTGATGGTATTTAACTCTAGTTGTTGACCTGATTGGTCAGTTAAGTTGTGATGTTATTGGTCGTCTGTCAGTTAAACCAAGTTATAGGCTATGCAGACTTGTAATATCATTGGTGCGTTTTGATCTGTCTATTGTCACAGTTGAACAGTGGTTTATTGTTAGTCAAATTGTCAGTTGTCCAGTCATTCTCTCGTAGTTAGTTTTGCTTGATAGAGCGGTTTTCACTTGACTGTCGAATTGGGATTGATTTTGGTTTTGGTTTTGGTTTTACTACGTCCTTTGGTTGGCTAGTGTATTTACTTTGGTTTTGGTTTTACGACAGTCAAGTGAAAACCGCTCTACCATCAATAAGTCATTTGTACTGTGCCGGTTACTGCTGACTATGATTCAGTGGCATTCCTGTTAGTATAGTTAGTATGTTATTGCTGTTAGTATGGTTGATTTAACAACATACTTTATAGTTGATTTCTACATCAGTCCTCTTGGGACAGAGCAAACATCCAGTTGGTCTGTCTTCTTCATCCAGTCTCTTAAATATGAAAAAATATAAACAATCAATAACCGTAGTTACTAAAACAAGGAATGACCTACAATGACCTACAATGACCTACAATGATCTACAATGACCTACAATGACCTACAATGATCTACAATGACCTACAATGAGCTACTATGACCGAACGTGTAATCCCTGTAATGAGCTAAAATGAAGATTTTAGAAAAAGACAAAAAAAAAAAGATCAGGGGACATGTGTGTGTAAACGTAACGCGTTTAGTCTACTGCATGACAGCCCATTTAACGATGACAGCATCTCTGATTATTACGCTTGGAGATAAATTTACAGTGTAATAATATATGTATGATGATACTGTGACTTTTGTCCAAACCATCCCTTGCAACCTTTCGCATTAGTTTTATCTTGTCTTGTCTTTTTTTCAAACAAATTGAACAAACACAGTCACCCCAACAGTCGATCCGGGGGGATCTTCAAGGGACGTAAGGGTAGAGATGAACAAAGGAGGTCTTCAAATTCTGACCCTGTTCAAAAGAAAAATTGTTCATTTTTTTTAAGTACCCTGGCCTGTATAAGACATCATAAGACCCTTTAAATGGCTTTTGGTCCAATAGGATGCTCTGTTTGTAACGCTAAATAGTAAAATAAATATCCTGCTCAGCGGCCCATACCCATCTAGGCCAAATAAGGGAGTGCCTGCATGACTTCCGTCAATACAGGGTATAATAGTGCTATACCAGTAAAAACGCGATTGCAATATTCTATTTTCAAGTTACCTGAGATCAGGCACAATTTTTGTTTTGCCTTTTCAAAATGTGCTTGGCAATTTAATACTATGAGCCTAGTGTCACATCCAAGCGTGACACACGACAAACATCAGTGTCTGTCATTTTGTAGCTCATTGTAGCTCGTAGTAGCTCATCGTAGATCATTGTAGGTCATTGTAGGTCATTGTAGGTTATTCCTTGTTTTAGTAACTACGACACACGTCCCATGGTCTTTTTTTTTTGTTGTCTTTTTCTAAAATCTTCATTCAGCTCATTACAGGGGTTACACGTTCGGTCATAGTAGCTCATTGTAGGTCATTGTAGATCATTGTAGATCATTGTAGGTCATTGTAGGTCATTCCTTGTTTTATTAACTACGAATAGAAACACCTGCAAGACAGCACACTTATCAAGAACTTTTATATGGGTGAGTTAATAGTATATATTGATTAAAATTAATTCTACAGTTCTTGGATTTTCAAATTTTACAGATAACATTATGGTATGATATTCGACACAGAGCATCTATGTGAATAAGCATGCATATGTGCTCGTAATCGATGCTTTTAGTGTTCCAGTGTTGTTAGCTGGGTGACAACAGCTTTGTCATTACCTCGAATCTGGAACGCAATTGAGCCATTCTCCGCTCCCGGAGCTTTCTCTTTTTGGCGACGTGATGATATTTCCCGTCCACTACGAAATAATATCACGAAATATTTTGTCAACATTGCGGAACTCAGGGAATTCAAGTGCTATTAAAATAATATCTAATAAGACAGACTTTTCCATCGGTCGCTACCTTCACGACCAGAGCGAGAGACTTGACGATTCTAATAACTTACCTGGTGCAGACATGTGAAAACTACGACAATAGACTGATGAAAGGCAGCCTAAAGGTGATAAAAAGCTATTTCTGGTACTAGTAAAAGCGTGTGAAGGAAGAAGAAAACGAGGCAAACCAAGAATATCTGAGAGACCCTTCCAAGTCGCCATTTTACTTTTTGTAAAATACTGCTGAAGATTGCAGGCTCGAAACGTCCACAGTTTTCTAACCCCTGTTTCTAACACATGTTTTTATTGGTTGAACAATAACTGACCAATCATAACCCCTGAACTATTGCAGTAATCAATTGCAGAATGAACGCCTGGGAGTTTTTGAACAAGATGGCTACATTCAGCACTGGTGTGCGTCATTTCGCCAGACGTAGCGTCTTCCAGAAAGTCCGGGCGCTCAGCTTAGGCTCTTCTTCACACACTTCAGTGGCTGTGGTAGGTACAACAGTTTTGGAAACACAAGAACCCTCTGTAATGTTTCAGATGAGATCTCCCTGTATTCCACTGAAAACTTACCTTCCAGATGCGAGGGAAAAATACTTCAGACGCAGGTGCATTTACTGCAACCCTGGGAGTATATCTGAACCCCCATGCCTTTGTTTAGTCCTGCCTTGGTTTCTATGATTTTGTGGTTTGCAAGTTTTAAGGTATGACGAGGGTCCCTTTCTGAAAAGTGCGTAAATTAATTTAAAATGAAAACAGCTTGCTCTGAGCAACATATTTGGAAATACGGGGTTGGGGGGATGATGCGAGGTTACCTGTCGCACCTTACCCCATATATTGTAGGGTAAAGGGGGGGGGGGTTTGGTGTGGCTGAAAATTTCTTGACATGGAATGGCCTAGTAAACCAAACTTAAACTTGGATTTTTTAGGTGTTTTCGGGAAATGGGGTTTTTGATGTTTCAGAGTTTCATGAAGCTTCCGGTTAAGTAC